TTCGGCAGTCCGAAGCATCTTCCTCAAAATGCTATCTAAGCAACTGTGTCTTGCATGCACTCGCTCTCTTAAAAAACCTCTAGCATCTCGAGGAAGCAAAATCTCAAAATTGCTTAGATACCATCTTTTAGAAGATGCTTCTGACTTCGATACTAGCGAAAATCTTTTAAAAAATTTCCAAGAAAATTCGCTAACTTTCTTCTACTTTTGTCTACAAAAGTTAGCTTTAAAAAATGTCTTAGAAAAACACTCAATATATAGATTTGTACTTAACGCTGTCCTCTATTGAATTGTATGGTGAAAACCGTAAGTCACTATGACTTTTCGTTCGAAAGTTATAAGCTTGTTTTCAGCTGCCTTCTTTAAAAAGTCTGATACTAGAATAGATACATTCCAGTGAGATAGACATTAGCTATTTTTATTAATTAAATCTTATTTGAAACGCGTCTGTCTTTTTGTTTTTTTTTACTATTTATCGATCAATTTAGACTGGAAATTTATCAATAGGTAAGATATTTCGACTTATGTTTACTAGATATTCCAAAATAAAAGCCATGGCCTTTTATTCTGAGGACTCAGATTGCTCTTTCGATAACAATTTTGCACGGCAGTTGGCTAGATTTAACTGACTTTTGCCCGAAAATAAAGAATTTTTGGAAACACTTCCTAGCAGTCGAAAAGGCATTTTTAGTAACTCAGTGCCATAGAATCTAGTTTTTACTGAAGAAAGCAATTGTTTTTTACTATAAGGAAAAAATTTTATCACAGAAAACTATTTTTTTCAGTTTGAAAAGGATTTTTCAATACCAGAATTTGAAAAAACTTTTCGACTTTCAGTAAAACATTTTCAAAACCCTGTGACCTTCTAAATACATCTTGTGAACAATTTCTAGATGGTTGGTCTTTTAATATGGAACGGTCTCCTATGTTGGGGCTTGGTGTTATTTAATTATACTCAGTGTTTTTTCTTAATCTAACGATGATGTACCAACAAAGAATTAGATTTAGAGAGCAATAGGATAGTGAAGGTTAATATTTTGTAGCTATATAAAAACCTCCGTAGCGGTAAAATCAAACTTTTGATAACTTCTATAAATACACTGTTCATTGTATCCAATGAAGAGAAAAAAAATGCTAAAATAGGGTACAAAAACTTTAAAGTGGAGTATTGTTAGGGATGTGCAATTTTGGTGAAAACAGTAAAACACCGATAGTGATGCACCACTCTTGACTACACTGACTGAACGAATATCGGTGTTCTATTCAGAGTTGGCAGAACTGGTTCTAAATGAACTGACATAGACATTCACTGAAATCTTAGTGCTCACTTATGTCGAAGTTTACCATATGATTCGGATGATCATTTCTCTGGGAAATGATGATAAAAAATTAGAGACCTTTTTTGAGAGATATCTTAAATACGTTTAAACGATGAATGCAACCATCATTTACTAGGGAAATGTTCCTTGTTGTACGCCTTAATCTATAAGTCCTAATCTCTGTACGCCTAAATGAGCACGTCTCAATTTGCATGTCCTAATCTTTGTACTTACAAATCTGTAAGTCGTGATGTGTATGTCGTAGTTTGTGCGTACCAATCTTTGATTCTTATTGCACATGTTCTTTCTATGTCCGCTCCTACACTTGTGAACCCTTGTGCGTTTTCCGTAATCCGTTTTCTATGCAGCTTTTTTCTTGCGCAAATCTACAAATACGTTTTCAGTAACTTGCTCACAAATTAACAACATCTCATAGGCAAACCTACTAGCGCTTAATGACCACACCCCACCGTCACGAGCTCTGCACTCATCACAGCGCTCCTTCTAATAAAACCGTCCACTAACACCCTACTTGAACCATCATCTTAACCTACTCTATACGCTCAATCTCATCCATCGCCCTCGCCGTCAGTCAAATGCTGTGTCTTCTATATTCTTTTTTCCCTTCACCTGCACTTAGATGCTTTGTCTACCAGATCTCTTTTTGCCCTCACTCAGATGCTGCGCTGCATATTTGTCTATCTACCTTGAGTCGAATATGTCTTCTTTCTGTGTAGTGGCGATGGAAGGAAGCAGCAATAGTTGACCTTTAATTTTTTGATCCCAATCACTGGACCCAAAACGGTTGAAAATCCTTAGTTTCATTTTCTTTTATATTCACTGTTTTTCTTTTGAAAAGATGAAAAATTTTTGCAGAAGATGTCATAGAAAATCACGTAAAGAAGGAGTCATAGATTGATGGTATAGATTTAGACGTACTCATTTAAACGTGCACAGATTATGACGTACAATAAAGGACATGTTCCTGGTAAATGATGGTTGTATTCGTAATTTAACCGTATTTAGAATGTCTTTCAGAAAAGGTCTCTTATGTTTCATCATCGTTTTCCAGAAAAATGACACAGCGGATTATATACTATAATGTGGAATAAATTATATTAGCCGGAAAAAAAATCTAACAAACCATTAATCTGATATACATTCATCGAATAAAAATTTTCTTTGCATTCACATATTGCGTCCAAATGACGTGATACTATTTTCCATATGAATTTTACTTCTTGAAAATCAATATGGCTATGTCAAACTTTAAGTGAATATCGGTGTTAATGCAGTCCGTCCGTGTGGTTAGTGTAATCGGTGTCAGTGTTGTTCACTGTTTCGGTGAACGCGAATGTCCGTTTCGTTAGTGTAGTCAGTACAGTCAGTGTCGATGTAGCCCATCTGTCAAACTCTATCAGTTTCAGTGTGTTGTTGATCAGTACACTGAAAAGGCACATCTCTAGATATTCTACTAAAACATGGGTTACATATGATGACATGGGAATGGAGTTCGAGTATAAATCTTTGACATTCATAACTGAATTTGATATCACTCAACTACTTTTCCAATAAATGGTTTTATCTTCACGACTACAAAACTTGTGATCTGTGTTAGCAACTTCAAAATTAACATTGAAAGGGTCATTTTAACTATGAATTATCAGATTTCTAACAGAAAAAATAAAAAATTCATTTCATGACAATTACTATAGGGAAACTAGCGCTACAAAAATTCAAACTAGAAAAAAATCTGTAGATAATATTTGTTTTAAGCTATAAATGAAGAACGAGTTTCGTTTCTTTCAGATGTTCGAAAAAAAGGAAATTCTTACTAACCATTGTCACGAGCAAACCATGTTCCAAATTGAATTTGTGTAACATGTCGGAAAGGCATATCAATCGTCTTGTATTGCTTCATTTCAGATAAGATATTTAATGACATCAGAAGATCCGAATGGTCAAAATCCCTCCATTGATCTATAAAAATAAGGCTGGATTTAGTTGAATACAAGATAGACCAATCTTCATGAGGAATCTTCTTTTTTATTCAATCGTTTCAAGAAAATTTCATAGTTTCGATTTTTCTCTATAGTTTGTTTTTCAGAAATAAAACACAGTGAAATTATTGATAAAATGAAATTGTAACCTTAATCACTTATCTATTATTTCAACCATCAAGAAAATCCTTGAAGTGACAAAGGAAAATTTACTTTTGTATACTTTGATCCAAGAAATCTTAGGAGATAATTCCTTGAATCGTTCGAGAAATAAATAAAATGATGGATGTAACCGAAACAAAATTTTGTCAATATATGGCCAATTAAAAATATATGAATGATTACTAAAAGAAAAGAATATAATTAAATAAAGAAGTTCTGAGAATTTTTATAAAACTAAATATCTTACCTAGGATTATCAGAGAATTGTAATCTATCAGTTAAAGAGAAAAGATGTTGACATGACATTATTGGATCAAATAAATATTTAACATTTGTCCATTGATGTTCAATAAAAAAAGAATGAATTTTAAATGAATTAATTATTTTTTCTATGTCATTCAATGATGATTGACATTCTGAACAAATATAAAAATCAAAATAAATTAAATTAATTATTTTTGAAGGTAAACAATATTGACGAACAAAATTTGCATCAATAACAGATTTCCATATACTTTCACTTTCTCTTTTGATGAATTCATTATTTCTAAGATGAACTTGAAGCTTTTCAATATAATTTAAATTGTTAAGAAGCCATTTCAAATAAACAAATTCTGAATCATCACAAATCAAAGTTTTTAAACTAAAATATCGTAGTTTTGGTATCTAAAAAAAATATGATATTGTTTTTTTTTATTAATCGAAAGAAAGATCTTTTTGAGAAATTCATAAAACAAGAAAAATTAATTTTCTTACTTTATTAAACCAGTTTTCATTTGATTGCCTTAAAGTTTCAACATTCGATTTCTCAAATGAACCGAATTTTGATACATAATGAAATTCAACTAATAATTGTTCGAGATTGGGGACATATTCAATAAGATTTTCAAGAAAACATGTTTGATTAAGTCGAATATATAAACAACGAAGAGTCATACAATACGATTGAAATTCATGTTGAATAGGATTGAAAGAGAGATAAGACCTTGATTTTAAACATCTATGAATAATACTACCTCTTAAAATATTGCTAATATCAAGTCGAAGAGATTTTAGTTGACATTGACCAGAGAATAATTGACAAAGAAGTTCTTTGATCATGTTCATTCGTCTTTCTATTTCTTATCAAAGAAAAAAACAAAAATAGAAATTATCTATTATTAAAAAGAAAATCTTCTGGAAAACATAATCTAAAAGGGGTATTCAAGTATATAGGGTAGACAGTAACAGATATTGATATGGAAACGTCGTAAACACCTTAGCAACACTTCATAATACAGGATAGAGCGAAAGTTAGTTTGCCGAAAAAAAATTCAACATCACCATCACGGTTTCGGGCAAACGAGCTGATTTTTTTTATAAATGATGGAAGCATGTTCAAGCTTTATATCCATAAAGACATGTTCAAAGAGATCCTTTGTTGAATATCAGTGATCTCAACAAAAAAGAATTTACTTTTTCATAGATTAAAAAACAATATACTTAAGAAAGGATCTCGTTAAACATGTCTTTACGGATATAAAGCATGAACATCCCTCAAGATTTGCTCAGTGCTTACAAAAATGGCATACTAGAATTTCTTTGAACATACAATTAGAAAAAGCTTTTAACTTAGATCCTGCACAGGTGTTATCGGTTTTTCAGAGCATGTTTTACCTGATGAAAAATGAAACGGTATTTTTTTAGGAACTATTACAATACCCATTATTCGCATGACATCTGAAAGAAGTCTGAAGTACTAATTCTCTGATTTATTTACTCGGCAAATGTCACTTTTTTCTTCGTCTCTCCTAAATTTTAGTTTCATTGATATGATTTATCGGAGAATGCGATGAAGAGCATAGAATATTTAACTACATTGATTAGCTCACTATTTTCTCGTGGCTTCAGGTCTGATCTAGTCGCAGTGAACCTTCAATTCTTCACTTCAGTACGGTTTCGCATATGTCAAGACATAATTTAAGAACAAATCAATGGAGATACGAATGAGTTTGCGCTTTTTCTCGTTTCAATAAGCTCTACTCCATGAGATAATTCTTATATTAGAAACATTCTATCATGTGACCAAGTTTTCTTGTTTAAAATTAATAAAAGTCGATTTTTAATTTCTAGTACAACAATTAGTATTTTCCAAAGGTACCTTGCAATTCGATTATGGTTATAACTTAGACCGTATTCTTAAAATAAATAGGAATATCCATGATGAAGATAAGAACATCTAAAACGGATCATTCTTCTCATAGAGTGAATTGAAAATGCTAACATAAGAAAGTATCTCTTATAGGATATATATAAACGGCTATTCATAAGCTATTAATTTCTTTCTTCAAAAATCAAACTTCTAAAGGTGAAACCATTTTGGTTTTAAATAAGTGAGTTACTTGTGTATTCATTCGAAAATGAATTTAATTAGCAGTCAGCACTTAGGTAATTTCCACTGAAAAATGACTTATTACTATTTCGAAAAAAAGTAGACAAGACAAACTTGATATTTTTCTTTTAGGAAACGAAAATTACAGACGAATTGGGAATTAATATTTTCACTCTACGTTTCTTAGTGCACAGATTTATGTACTTTTTGATAGTCCCAATTGAGATGACTTTTTCACCATAGACGAAATTCTTGTTTTAAAGTAACTACAAAGTAAAAGATAAATTACCTGCATCAGAAATCATTTGCAAATCTTTTTTTTCATAACGAACTCGTCTGAATCCTTGCTGATTAAATGTTAATGTAAGTTCATCTAATTGATGTTCAATAAGGTAAGATAAACTTTGAACTACTGCTTCAATTGATCCACATCGAGTAAGAATAAGTGATTTAAGATTAGAAAAATGAAGGATTTTTTTCTCGTTAAACAACCATTGATAGATAAGATCACAAGCAATTGAATTTGTTTCATCAAAATGAATTCGTTGAATAGAAGAACAAAGAGATGAGGAATTTATAATCAATGGAAATAATATTGATGAACATTTATTATAAGATAAACCTTGTGTAATAAGAATGCCACTATTCGATATACGGTCATTTATTGAAAGAATTGAACACACAAGCGAATCAAAACGAATATTTAATGACCAAAAAGATATTAACATATCATACCATGATAAATAAGAAAATATATAAAGAAGAATTTCATTAGGTAGTGTTTCGATTTTAGTTATCATTTTATCTAAAAACAAGATTATATTAACACAGACTGATAACAATTTCTTTTCTATCAAAGAGATCGAAATACAATGCATTATCAAATTATAATTCTAAAATTCAAATCTTTGATAAAAAATCTAAAACATAATGAAGCTATTTTTAATGAGTGATACATGTCTCTACAAAAGACTGATCTCGAAGAAAATATCCTTCGTGAAGATATTATCTGTGAGAGGGAGTTGAATTTTCTCCTTTTTAGTTCAAATACTTATCATATTTAGTAGTGCACGACATCAATCTGTCTAATTATAATCAATGTGTGTTCTACAATTCATAAATGAAATGATAATGTTAGAAAGTTTCAAGATATGAAATACTTTTCGACAATGAAAATAAAACACATTCGGGTTTTTTCGTTAGATTTTGACTGATTCTAATTACAAGATGAAACACTTACCATTAAATATCATACAATCGATAAGCTATTAGTTTATGTCAAGACTATCGAAAAACAGAATAGAAGAAAGGCGTAAAGTACTGTTGTTTATTTGCATAATTTTTGTATCCAAATCAAAATAAACGTTGAAAAATAGAATAAAATACATACAAACCATTACGCATCATTTATCCCAATGTACATTATATCATAGAATATTCAAGTGCTGTCGTATTTGCTCGTCAATATATGTTAGAGACAGACGGAGCCATTTTTCTTTCTTTCTCATACAAGTCGGAGAAATTCAACAAAAAAAATTCATGTTCGGCGAAATGTTAAACATTAGCCTGGCTAATATATGACGAAAAGGTTATTCTTTTTTTCGTCGTGTTGATCATAGTATAGCTATATTTTTATTTTTTCCGTAAAGGAAAGAGAGAAAACTGAAATGAACACATAATTATATTCGTTGTTAAATTGTTCAGTAATAGCCATGATGAGAATCAGCATAGATAAAAGAGGCAAACCTATCATTATGTTTATCTTTCTGGGTTCATTATTTAAAAGTTGTTGGTTTTACTCTTTGTACACATTTTAATTTCAAATCAAATTACGAAATTTTTTTTTCTTTGTTTCAGATATCTATTAGAAATTTTGTCTTCAGTTTGCAAATACGTGTTGGTTTTTAACTTTCACGTAGTTGTTTTTTAACTTTCACGTAGTTATTTTTACATTTCACATTTATGATGGATGTCGATATAACAGAATTAGAGATTGAATTCCAAAAAGTAAGCTATAGCTTCTGACTTAAAAAAAATAATCACGGTAATAAAATAATATCTACTTCATGAAATTTTTTAGGTTCTTATTCAATTAGCTAATGAACCATTCAATAAAGAATTACTTCATAAACTTCAACTGATACAAGTGAGAATGCTATATTTTATATTGAATTTTAGAACTTTTTTTTTTCAGAAGCAAATGTTGGTACCATCACCAGCTACTACAGTAAGTAAAAACGACCTTCTTTGACACAGTGACAGCCATTGTAGCTTTTAATTTTTATATATACGTTCGGTTTTTATTGTAGAATCAATCAGGTTTGGATACATCATATTCAACAGCAAGCATTTATGAAGCATCATTATCATCATCATCATCAAATCTTACTAATGTTTGTGTACCACGAACATTAAATATTGACAACAACGAGAACATGGCAGCAAATACTGAAACACCCAGGACGAACAATCCGACAGTGGATCCCATCGGATCCTATCGAATCCTATCCAGATCCTATAGGATTTTATTGGATCCGGGTCACGATCCGACTAACGGATCCATAGTATTGGAATCCGATCGGATACTATAGGAATCTCGTCGGAATCCGACTGCTGGAGTTCCTATCGAATCCGACTGTTGAATTTGATCGGATCTCTGTCGGATCCGATCGGATGTCTCTCGGATTCCAACACTAGGATTTGTTCGTCGGATCGTGACCCGGATTCCGATCGGATTTTGTAGGACTCGTTGGATCCTATAAGATACCATCGGATCCGTGTCGGATTGATTGACCTGGGTTATACAGTATAAGACAAGAATAGAAAAAAAGAACAAAAAGAAAAAAAAATTTTTGAAATAAGTTTTTTTGTTATTCATCTATTTTGTATGAGATGTTGATGAAGTCATTGGTTGACAGAGAAACTCATATTGATCATTAGCATTGATATCAATTGTAATATGACTATTTGATGGAAGTATGTTTTGCATTAACAGTTTTGATAATTCACTTATTATAAAATCATCGACATATTCTGTCAATGGACGAGCACCACGATCTATTTTGTGAATAAAATAAATAGATAAATAAATAAAAAATCGAATCAATTTATAATAAAAGGATTCATCTGATACGAATTACATTAAAATTTCTGTTCAATAAAATACCTGAACGACAAGCTTTTTCGAGAATTAATTGAACAGCTTTATCTGCTGAACTAATTTTAATATTTTGTTCTTTGAATCGTTCCTCCAGTGATTTTAATTTAAGATGAATAATAGAAAAAAGTTGATTATCATTAAGTGATTGAAACAATACAATATCATCCAAACCACGTAGAAATTCAAGTGAAAATGCTGATTCCATCTGTAGAAAAAATATTTTATTATTAAATCTATAGAAAGAAAAAGAATACAAACTTCTTTCATCACAAGATTCTTTATTGTTGGAGATATTTTTTCATTGAAAGGTTTTTCTGATGATGTTAGATTTTTAATTTCTTCTAAAATATGTTTTGAACGAATATTTGATGATAAAACAAGAATTGTATGTGTTAAATCAATTTTCCTGTTTTTTTTCATCCTAATAGATTCAATTTACAAAAATGTTTTAAGTCATAAACATAAAACATACAGTCAGAGAATCGTCATTGAAAACTTGTAATAAAAAATTCCAAACTAGTGAATGAGCTTTGTTAGCTTCATCAAATAAAATAACAGCATGAGGTTGTGCTTGAATATGCTCTATTAATTGTCCATAAACAACATGATCTAAGAAAAAAAAAATCATTGAGATAAATAAAAGAATAATCGAAAATTTCTTTTAACCTGATTGTACATCAATTAATAGAGTAACTGAATCAAATTTTTCATATTTGTTCATATTAATAACAACCATTGATTCTATTGAATCAAATAAGTCTAATGATAATGCTTTTACTAATTCCGTTTTGCCAACACCAATTGGTCCTAGAGAAATAAATAGAAATTATTTTTGTCCACTTGTAATCACAACGTGCAATGCAATCGCATAAATACATTACTGAAGAAACTTGAAACACTACCTCGTTAAATTATATTAATGGCAATAGGATTTTTCATAAGTATTCTTAAATTGAATGAAATATAAATTTCAAATACTTAGGGCAGTCAAAAAGTAGTGGCAGTGACACTTTAATATCATATAGTAAGCTTTAAGAAACTTTCTGTCTATACAGTCTGATAGAGAAAAGAATTCTCGATTTTTCTATGCTATCTGATGATACTTCATCTAATATCATGATAAGAAAATTTTGATAAGACCTGTTTTTCTATCATATGGGCAGTTATACGAATGTCTATGTAGTGGATATTTTTTGAATAACTTTTGATGGAAACAAGATAGAGACCTGCAGTTTTCATTGTTCGAAAGAGGAAATGAAGCTACATCAAATCATATATTATAGATTTGTTGACATGGCTTTTAAAGATTTTCAATCGACCTCTTTGAAGACAATCCTACTCTCTAATGTATTTACAGCGAATTCTCAATTGTTAGGTGTGTATTCAAACCAACAATGGAAGGTCTAAAAAATTGCACAAGGTTCAGATGTTTAGAATTAATCATTTCGGAGTTATAGATGTTCTAGTCGCAGCTCTAAGTAATTTTTCTACCCTAGACGAACTTTTTTTTTCTCCCATTCTTGATCCAGATAGTTCTCAAGATGTGTCCATAGCGCATGACTTTCTTGCTCAAGACAAGCGCTTGAGTTTTTGCATGAGTTACAAGAAACTCATGCGCTCAACCCAAAAAATGCAACTATGAATTTTTATTAAAAGTTGAGCTATTTTGAATGTAAAATTGAAAAAAAAAATAAAAAAGTTCTTTAATAACAGGAACGCTTAGATAAGGATTCAAGCGCATGAGCAAGAATATCAAACGATAGAACAAGAAGTTCAAGAACTTGAGCTCACCGAAAGGTTTCAAGTCTTGCCTCAAGATGTGTCCATAGTGCATGACATTCTTGCTCAATAGATTCATGTTTTTCTTGCGCATGCCACAAGAAGTTCGACTAGGGTAGCAATTTCTGTGAATAAATGAAAAATCATTTTTTGCGATACTTAGAAAACTGATTGAAGAAACTTCAGATAACGTCTAGGAAAATATATAATCTACAATTCAATGTATCTTCATCCCCGCTTTTCAACGTTGAAATCCGCAGCACTCTATCTTGTTTCCATCAAAAATTATTCAAAACACATATAGTAAAACCGTCCCATATGATCGAAAAACAGGTCTCATCGACATTTTCTTATTATAATATTAGTTGAAGTATGATCAGATAGCATAGAAAAATAGAGCATTCTTTTTTACATCAGACTGTATAGATAGAAAGTTTCTCAAAGTTTACTACACGGTATTAAAATGCCACTGTCATTACTTTCGGACTGCCCTAAATAATTCAAATTCATTAGGTTCATTAAAAACATGAAAACGACCAGGATATTCTTTTTTTGGTGCATATTCAAAATCATCCATATCTTGTGAAATTATTTCACAATTTATTGTTAAATAACCTTGTGTATCAATCATATAAGATATCATCATTATCTATGAAGAGAATTCAAAAAAAAAAAAAGAAAATTTCTACAGTCTAACATAACCCAAAAAGAACATTTCGCTAATATTTCAAAACTTTCAGTATTAAGGCTCCCTATCCGAAGTTTCTCAGGCAAAAATTATCATCAACCTAAAATGGTCAGAAGTCTGCCGATGCAAAACTCTATATTTCATTTGCTCGAACTGCAATCTTTTTATCACAAGTATATGGTAAACTGGAAAATAGATGATAAGAATCAATAGCAGGATCTAAGAATTCATCTTATCTCATATAGAGTTTAGCCCAAGGAACTTATATCAACTTTTGAATGTGTACATCCCTCGATGATTCTGGATTAGAGTTGATAAAAAAGTTTTATAAACAGCTGAGATGAAATGGGAATGGAAAGAAGATCTTATCTTCGAGAAATCTGTTTGAAGATATACTATCTCTAAAGAAAATACCATACACTTTGTTGCATGTGAATACTGCTAGATAATCATACTTTGAAAAAAATAGAGAAAGATTATACTTTAAGCTATGGAGAAGTCAAGAGGAAGCACATATAATAGATGCAGCTTCTCCTAGATAAATAGTGAATCCTAAAGATCAATTATACAAGGATTTAAAATATCTTTCGTTAATTTCATTATCCTTAAGTCAGTTTCAGTGTTGATGTTTTTTCCTCTGCTCTATGCTCCATATTCAAATCATACAATAGGATTGATGAACGAACAATAGCTTTTTCAAGCAGACATTCTTATTACTGATGGTTTTTCTTCAATTTAACTTTTGTTCCTACTTCCATTTCGTATGCACACTTTTTTGTTTCATTTTCTTCTTTCTTTTATTCTGTTGAATTCATATTGAATATTGTTTTTTATTTAACAATCGTCTGCAAATATGAGACATGACTTTGTGTTGATTATGTTTCATTCGTTTCAAGAAAAAAAAATAAGAAACGAACAAATGTATTTCTTTATTAAATTACATAATTCGAAGAAAAAAAAACCTATTTATGCATAAACTTTCACATATATAATAAACATTATATTATTACGTGCCATACAGGATTTCAGTTAGGAAACTTATACAAAAAAAAAGACCAACATCAATAAACATAATTTTTTCATGACAAGTTCAAAACAGAAAACAAAAACGAAAAAAAAAGAAAAAGTTTCTTCTTTATGAAACAAATATATAATATAAATATAAATAAATTTTAAATTTTATCTAAAATACGTTCGATAATTAAAGTAACAACTTCATGAATGTAATTTAACTCTTGTTGTTGTTGCTGTGCCTGCTGTTGTTGTTGTACTTGATGGATTTGTTGTTGTAATTGATCAATTTGGTCTTGGTGTTGTTTAGGGGTGTCAACTTTGCGTTCCATTCCTGGGAACGGAATGCTGAGGAACGGAGAACGCTGACACCCCTAGTGTTGTTGTTGTAATTGATCAACTTGTTCTTGATGTTTCTTTAAAGTAATTGTTCGAATTTTTGGTAAATTCTAAACAGAAAAATTCTAAACATAACATTTAATTAAAATGTTACTTACTTCATTATTTTTTTGTGATGGACATAATGCATTGTTAGAAGCCATCTACAAATCATAAATAAATTGTAGTATTAGAATTTCAGAATAACAAGGTATAGAAATATTAAATATAAATAACATCTTATGGAAGTTTATGGTCGAAGCTGTCTATATTTGAAAATTTGTAAACTAAAAATATTTACTTTGCCTGTTTCCATGATAGGAAAAATTTATAGAGCGAAGTGTTTTAAAATGGAATGATCGGAGAAATCTGAAAAGACCAAAGATGAAATGAATTTTCGATGAGAAATGTATGTTTTTATGTGAAGAACAATAGGCTTTCTTTTAAATTTTGGTCGTCTTCTCTTTATATTCATCAATCAAAAAATACTGTACAATGACAAAAGTATCTATCTATGAGATGTCACTAGAATGGCGTCACATATTATGCTATAAATATGAGAATTCTCTTATTACTAGAGTTGAATTTCATCAAATTTGATCTATACAAAAAAAAGAAAAAAAAATTCAATTGAATTGAATAATTTCGAATTTCATTTGGTATGAAAAAGGTCTAAAGAGAGTATTCTGTGACCATATATTTTACTTATTTACATTTGAAAGAATTCAATCTACAGTGTCTTTGTTCATATAAGTATTTTTAACACGATAATGCTTCACTAATGTCGAATAAAGATAAAATATGAAGAATTAATTTGAATACAACGGCAAGTTTTAAAAATATCTATCATATTACTATATTTTCAATTAAAAATTAGTTCACTTTACCAATGAGAAAATAAGAATAAAAAAGTTGCCATGGAAATTGGTTTGGTTGTAATGTTTAGGTTACCTTTCTCAGAGATTCAATAGTATGTATTTTATAGTTACAGCAATCGGGACCGGTATTGGTCAGTTTCTAGGGGTCCCAAGCATCAAATGGAACTCAAAAGATATCCATTGGATAGAGCACGTCAAGATCTACCTGGAAACTCAACGATTAAGTTGGAAAGCACTCTTGAACGAATCACGACAAGTTTTTCGAGAATTGATTGCGTTTTACACGTTTTTTTGATGATATTTTGGGATTTTCTTAGTTTGAGGGGGGGGGGGGGAGGTAGGCTAAAGAAAAATAAATGATGTGGTTGGATAGAGCTCGTCGAGTTCTACTTGGAAAGTGATTGAACTGGTTTGAAAAGGTTTTTGGAAAGCTTCCGCACAACCGCCTCCCGGTCATCACTTTTTTTCTAAAAGACGAAAAATACGCAATAGCTCTCCATTGAGTAAAAAATCTTTGTACGCAAAATTTTCTTCGGGCTCGGGCTGAATAAAAGTTGCATCGGGCCGGATAGGCCTAAGCAATGTTCAGACCACTTTGGATTGAGTCGGACCATAAAAAAGTGGGCTGATTTCGAGGCCTGGAAGGTAGATGTTTAAAAAAAAAGAGTTGATCTATCCGACCAGACTGATCATCCCAATATATATAATAAATGAATGTCGTTTATGAATAATTGAAAATGAAATGGTTATATTATATTGGTAATAGGTTGTATGATAATGGTTCCATCAGCAATTGTTTATACAAATGCTTTTACAGTATTTCCAGCAGATGATGAAGCAAATATTGGTTTTATGGATATGACTAAACCACCAATAAGTGATCCTACGAAACAACCTCAAACAACAACATCATTACCTCCATCAAATATAAGTAGTTCAAAAGAAAAAAATTTAAAAATGATATTTGATATAGAACCAGTAGGATCATTTAAAAAATCATCATTCAATAAAAAACTATAGATTCGTTGTTTTTTATTAAAAATAGAATAGTTTATTTTTTTTTTGTATATAAGTTCTTTTTTTTATGTGTCTTTTAATATATTGATAAATGAATGTTGTTTGTCAATCATCTTGAAATGAAAATAAATTGAATGAAATAATTGTCTGTTAATAAATCAAATAATGAATTGATTTAATCCTTATCTTTTGATTGTGATGTAATAATACTATCTTCTCTATTAAAAATAGATCGTTCAGGTGATTTAGTTCGATAATTTTCATTAAAAACTCCTCGTGCCCATGTTAATGTTTCATTACAAATTTTAATAGCCCAATATGCTTTTTGTGGTTGTACAAGCCAATCAGAATCATTAGTTAATAAATCAAGAAATTGTGCAACCTTATACCATTCTACAAGTAATTTTCCTTGTATAGGTAATTCATTTTGACGTGAACGTATATATGATATAAGAGAATTTAATGTTGGAAATTTTCTTGTACGATTAGTCATAACTTCAACAATTGATTCAATTGAACGTAAAATCATTAATAATGCTGTTTTTGTAATTGATGTTGATAATGTTATTTGTGTTAAATCATTTTTATTAAGTTTAATCATATGATTAAATGTACGTTTTAAATCAAGAAATTTTTCACTTAAATTATCTAAATTAAAATTTCCTGTTTTAGCAAATAAAAGTGCATTTTCAAATGATTTAACATTATCAGCATGATTTAAAGATGTTTGTCGATCATTTGATGGTGGAATATCAAATGCATATTGTAATAAGTATTCAGTTTTTTGAATTTCAGTTTTATGTCGAAGTTGTTCAGCAAGATCAAGTACTTGAGACCAACAATTACGTACAAAATGATCTGATTTATTATTATCAGAAGACGAAGAAGAATTCTCATCAGTTGACATTAATAATGATTTAATGATTGTCTTTTTCTATAATAAAATTAAAAAAAAAAATTTTAAAGCCAGATAACAATGGCCTGTTTTTTCTTTATATATGAAAGGTCAACATTCGTTCGTACGCACTCATTGCATATATTTATATATATATGCTGGTGAATATACCATAGTCGTTACATATGTATATATTTTCTTTTCTTTCCTAGAAACTATTCACGATTATATTAGAGAAGAAACTTGTCGATATCGTTTTAATCGACGTATCGATCCATTATATTTCTCTTGTTTTTCTCCCTTCAGACGGTGAGCTAAGAGAAAAAAAATAAGAAGACGCTATTCTCGTCCTTCGTTACTGCCAACAAAATAAAGATACTTTTTTTCTTTTTCGTTCTTTTCATTGTTTAACGATAACTTATTTAAGTGAGAAACTGATCCTTATCTTACTAAGCCAAGTTCAACTTATAAACAAATAAAAACATAGATTTATTGTTTATATTGAAACATATTTCGATTTTTAGATCTTACTTAAATATAGATAAAAACAAATAAAATAAAATAACAAAAGAATATTTGTTCAATTTCTAAGAGTCTAATTTATATTATATTTTCATTTAATAATCAAGAAAATAATACTTTTTTTTTATCAATTAACTACTATAAGACAGAGAAATATATTTATTAGATTATAAACAGTTTCATCAAATAATTGATACATTCATATTCTATTAAGATTTATTAAATACTATTTACAAATATCGATTCCACTTAGTCGTTGTTAAATACATTAAATTAACATATATATATAAGTCAAGTATTCTATGAAAAGAAAAAAGCACTAAAATGATCTTTATCTTGATCAAATAAAATGCGCCGAAAGAATTCTCCAACAAAGAAAATCAGATTAATAAAACAACAAACTAAACAGGAGTAGGTTTAATGTCATATTCACTAACAAATTTCATTTATTCTAGATATAATTAGTTAATTGACATGCAAGATATTTTTGAATTAAAGAGAAAGATCATAATTGATAAGATTAATTAAATAATAAAATAAGGTAAATAATAGAACGAACTACAGACTAAAATCTACGATATAAGATAATATATTGTTATTCTTATGTTATGTTCGAAAGAATATCTTATTATTCTCGAATATTATTATCTAGAAACCTATATCAAACATATTTTATTTCAATTGATTTTTGATTTTTATGTAAAAAAAAAGTCCAATGTACACATATGATAAAACATATTGACAAATTTTCGAGAATTAACTCGATTACTTTTTTTTCTTCTTAACAGAATCGATAAAAAAAAAGTAAATATTTAATATTCTAGCCAAATTTATTAACCGTTTATATATAGATGGGTAAAATCAGGTAGAATAGAAGATTTGTACCTTTCATTTGAGGTTTATTCTCTATAAGAGTGAAGTTTTTGAATGAATTCTTTTCGCATAGGCTTATGTGAAAATGTTTAATTTTTGACATGCTTATTAATTAAAATTAATTAATTAAAAAGTAATTAGCGAATATCTGGGTAACCATATGAGAAAAAAAATCTGAAAACTACAGAATAGGCTCTAGGACAGAAGCTGCATCTATGGTAAAATTTTCAGCAAGATAGGACTTTAAAAACTTTCTTCTAAAAAATCGGTTCTCTGAAGACACTCAAAAGTGAAAAAACGAAAACTTTTCTCTTATCATCATCTAAGGACTCTGACTAATGATTTGTAACATTTGAAATCGATTTCGAACTTTTCAGTTGGTTACAAGAGTGTCATCTAACTTGTCTAGTCGTATTGCATCACGTTGCCAATGACAAATAAATCGATTTTTTTGAAAAATCTAAATATGCTCAGGAAAATTTTGCATATAGACTTTATTGTCTTAGGAACCACCTATGAAATGCCCTATTTAGTTTTTTAAAATTGTGCATCAATTAGGAGTTTTTAAAAACTAAAATACATGAAGTGACAATTGATGTGAGTGTAGGTGTGAGTATGTAACTGAAAATACTCACACCCTTACCCACTGTCGTGTCACCATCGGTAATTTTCTACATATATCAAGGGAATCATATCGTAGCAATGTTCTCTGACTAAGAAAGAGAACAGAAAGACTTCCCTTTGATTGGTTTTAGAGCTGCCAACAAGCACTTTTTTTCGGCCTGGCAGGCTAAAAGTAAAAAGGTGGTCTGCAGATTAAACTAGGCCAATTAATGTTTCTGATTTTTTAAATATACTAAACTGGATAATCATATATTGCCAGATCAATGATTCTGGAAGCCAGATTCGTGAATTTCCGTCAAAAAGACGCCGTTTTCGATCGGAAAGCTTCGGGAAATGGCCGAAGTTTGGTAGTAGGAATCCGGCGATTGGATTCGCTGGCCAGATTTTCCTGCTTCCCATTGGAATCGATCGGAATCGGGCATTAAATTCGATTACCGGATTCCTGCTTCCAAGTACCTACCATTATTTGGAGCTTTCCGGCCGAAACCAGTACATATTTCTTCACCTGGTTTAATGTATTAATGTATTACCCTAGTGTCAGTTATTCAATTTATTTCGATAAATATACTCTGATAATGAGTTCTGACACAAAATAGCAAATTAAAACAAGAAGATAAATCATCGTAAATATTTTTCACACAAGAAGTACTTGATCTATTGAAATATTTTTCATTATATTACTACTGTTTCACATCATCGGAAAAGATATAATTATGATCAGGCATACAATGAGGAGATAAAAGGAAATGTACAAGTAAAATGTAGGGAATAAGAAGTATTAGTAATAACAAGCAAGGACATATACATTTGGTTGCCCATTTTTTCAACAGCATGAATGCAAAGTATATTATCCAATTGTTCTGGATCTAAAGAAGTTGTTTCGTCAGTCAATATCAGTCCCACAATAATAAAATTACGTTCTATTGTAGGATTTATTGCTGGAATCGAATGAATTTGTCTACTACCAGGAAAATAGATGTTACATAAAATACAGGCTAACAACTTTGGTCTGGCCCAATATTTTATAGACGAATCAAGCTAGACTAAAATTTCAAAATTCAACCTGGTCTGACGGATGGTCTGGCAGCAGGTCAGAGTAACAGCTCTGATTGCTTGGTAGAGATGTCTGTTCTTCAGACAATCAAGAGTAAATTGGAATCAGATTCAAGATTGACTTTTCGTTTTCCCCATCACCACAAACAATCAAGATTAACAAGAAAATTGATATCTACTCAGCCCATTGCTAGATCTTTGTCTGCCTATGAAATTAAACAGATAATACGGCGTGTATTGACGATACTTGTGACTTTGTTGCAAAGAATAGAGATCTAGTTTTTTGAATTTTTAATCAGTTTCAAAATGAAAAAATCACTTGTTCAAATAAGGCCCATTTTTAATGTTTATTGACTTGATTTTAAGTGTTTTCTTATAAATTAAGCGTGTAATTAGAGCCTGGTTGTTGAAAGAAGACAATTCGCCAATTTAGAAGATCTACCTTAACAATTACAAAAAAGTGATGTTTTAGATTTTCTTGATTTAAACTTGACAGAAAATTAAAAAAATCAAGTGTTTACGTTTGATTTTTTAATAAAAAAAGAAATCTAATTTCAGTTCTTTCCTCCTTGTCAAAACCTCATTAAACTAGCACCAAAATGTTAGTCTTAACTTGCTCTCTTTCAATTGCTATATGATTGAATTGGGTTGGCAAAAAAAAAGTAGAAATGAGTCGATTTGCCTTCTTATACTCCTCCGTCCTTTGTATAATTTCCATTTTGAATAAGTCACATATCAGCATAAGATGCAATTAAATAACGAGCTACATCAAGATCACTTTGATGATATATATACAAAATATTACAATTGGATAACGAACAAAATTTTATTTGCAATAAAGGAAAATAAATGTAAAAATTATCTGGATATGTCGTTGGTGGTAAATCAAAGATAAAATGTTCTCATTTTGAACAGTTAGCGCGAGCAGCATTATTTGTGAAATACCCTGTTACGATCTCCAAGTCTATATATTTGATATGTTATGTGTTAAGACTAAGGCAAACGTGTGTTGAAGTCGAAGAGAAATTGTTTGACA